GGCGGCGGACGTGGCGGCGGCGGCCCAGCAGCGGCAGAGGGTGGGGGCGGAGGCGAGAGCGCAACCGCAAGCTGTGCAGAGGGCGCCGGTGCCGAAGCCAGTGGCGGTGCCCCCGCGGTCGCACCGGCGTAGTGCACCGCTCCAGTTACTCTATGTACGTTTTTTCCAAAATATGTGTGTTTGAGTGTGTCACATCTCGTGTCTTACATACTGGATTACAGGATATAGGACTCGTGACGTGATGTGTGCTCACGCTGGACACACACTGTGTGCTCTAGAGTATCATTATACGTTGACTCGTTGACCTGTCTCCTATGTGCTCCATGGATCGGAGCACTTCTCGTCTAGCGTGCCGCGGTAGAAGAAGGCAACGCCGAGGACGAGTCCGAGGTAGAGAAGAAGAATGGCTGCGGCGAGGATCTGGTCGATGTGCAGCATGGCTCGACGCCCCACCCACAGCAGCTTGTCCAGGACCAGGCGCCTCCGCCGTTCCTTGCGCCGCATCTCCTCGAGGTAGAGCCCAGCCCTCATTATTCCTAGTGGCGCCTCACTCCCCTCGCCCCCGACCATCGCACTCCTAGCGGGTTCGCCTCTGGCGCTCGGAGCACGGGCGACCACTGGCAGAGGAAGGCGACGCACAGCCACAGTGTTGCGGCGCCGCAGGCCGCCAGCGCTCTGTGGAATCCGTGGAGGTGCCTCGGCGTGCTTGAGGATACGGCGACGGCGCCAAGCCCTCTGCAACTTGATGACCGCCTCAATGGCGTGGTCCGAGCGTTGCCATCGCTGCATCGCGCGATGCTGAGCGCGCTTCCGCGTGAGGTACGAGTCGAGCAGCCAGATGAGTAGGTGGAAGAGGCAGAGCAGCATCAGCATGAGAGACGATAAGAACATGAACATGTGCATGACCGTCATCGTCGGCGAGGGCGGCAGGCGTTCGACGACTAAGATCTGGAAGAAGATGACGCCCAGGTAAACAGTGAGTGTCAAGTTGACGCGCTCATTGACGTGGGACCGCGAGAAGAGGAAGGCCATGCATGCGATGACGAGCAGCAGAGTTACTAGCACCACCTGCCACAAGCTCAAGGGCTCAGAAAGGATGAGCTCACCGCGCCGAACTCAGGCATGGCACGCACAAAGTTATAGACGAAGGTCTGCGGGTAGCGCTCGATTTGGATGATGAAGCGCGCTGCGCTCACAGGATGGGGATAGGCCACCGTGCCCGCGTGCCGGTGGAGCGTCTCAGAGTACAATGCGTGGGCACAGGAGCGGGTGCAGTAGTCCTGAACCCGGAGATCGCTTCCAGCAAAAACGTTCTTCTCGAGACTTGTGTTCATCAGCTGAGCCATTTCCCATGAGCAGAATGAGGCGACATCGGGGAAGAACGGTGCATAAAATGGAGTGAGGCCATTCCCGAGCAGGAAGATGCAGTCACCCAAGGTGTCGGGAAAGAAGCTGTCCTCGTCAACGCAGCCAGCCGCTCGAGGTGGCACAACAGCAAAGTCATGGCATCTTTGGTACTCCTCATAGATTGTCTGTCTGTCACCCGCCCGCGCAACGCAGGTGAGATTTGACATCGTCGAATCGGGGACCTCGAGATAGCACTGGCAAAGCTTCGCGTGGTCCACCTCGGCACCGCTGGTGACAGCATCTCTGAGCATGGGCTCGCAGGCTGGGGGAATGGCGGTGTCGATGAGGGCGAGGAGCACCGACGTCTCACAGAGCGTCACATCGGGCTGCAAGGAGCGGCGGCTCCAGGGGGTCGCAGCAACCAGCAGCACGAGGATCATTGCGTGTGCAGGGCGACGCACGCATGTGCATCCGCACACGCAAGCAGCACGGTACGCTTCAAGCAAGCACCAACGTCCACAAAGGCAACTTTGAGACCTTGCGCCCGCGCCCGCGAGCGAGTTCTTTACCAGGTTGCAACCCTAGTCTCGCACTGTGCTGTGAACAGAGCACCAACCAACAGCTCCCAGGCCCCCCCGGTGCTGTGGTGCTGCCAGCAATCAACCAACTTGCCGGCGAGCGGAGCGAGCCGAAGAGCTGCAAACCAAATTCGCGCTCGCCAACGCGCAACGCCGCAGCAGCATCGAGCGGCACCATAGGTCGTCCGGCTTTGCCGACGGGCGACGTGGACGGGACACAGGGACGGGCGAACCACGTACCCGAACAAGCATGATCCATCCCGAGAACGGGGCATTGTACTACATAGTGCGGGGGACCTGGGCAGCAACCAACAACCTGGATGGGGACGGGGGGCTGCAACCGACGCCAACCAGCAGCGTTCACAGCGCAGTGCGAGACTAGGGTTGCAACCTGGTAAAGATCTCGCTCGCAGCGACTCTCGGGGCGGGCCATCCCGCTAGCGGGATGGCTTAGCGGGTTCGAGCCGTCACACATTGGCTGCCGGGGTGTGCCGAGGGGGGGCTGGGTGGGCGGTAAGCCGTCATTGCCCGGCGCTGCTAGCTAGCAGCGCTCTGGGTGGTGGTGGGGGCGCTCCAAGGCTCTTGGGAAGCGCGGATCGTCTTTCTTTAATAAATTAAATAAACGGGACCTCTACTGTGAGGTAGAAAGGAACAGGTCTCCGCCCGTACGGACTACAGAGCGGAATGTATTTTAATACAGAGCCTTTAGTGACCGCTCTTGGGGGGGGCGCGCCATTGCAGCTGTGTCATGATAGCGGATAGAGAGCATGAAGCATGACGAAAGGACTCCAAAAGAAGACTGTGAAAGGGGTGTGAACTCGGACAGCATATCCCTCTCACAGGACACAGCAGACAGGCTCGACACAGCACACAGGGGTGCGGACCAAAAAGAAACTACGTTCGAGTCGGTGCAGGCTTCTTTTATTGGATGCGAGCGCTATTATTGGGGATGCGAGCTGTTCGCTCTGTAGAGAGCCACTTGACTTTAGTCGCGAGTCGGTGCAGGCTTCTGCAGTAGACTGCGGTGAAGTACTGTTCGCCCCGCCTGTGTTCAGCAAGACCACGCTACGATGCACGAACATTTGCGAGGTGCAGAGCCCGCCGGGGGGCAATAAGCGGCCGCCGTCGCGAGGACAGGCCC